TGTCAGGAGGGCAGTCTCCTCCTCCTTTCCCTGTTGGAAGAGGAAGGGGCGGATTCCTTCCTTCTCCTTCCTTTTCTTCTTTCCCTCTTTCCCTTGTTTCCTGTTCCTCCTTCCTTCTTCCTTTCCTTCTTTTCATCCCTCCCTCCCTTCCTTCCTTTCCTCCTTCTTTCCCTTTATTTTCTTCCACTTCATTTCCTTCCCTCCCTCCTTTCTTCACCCCCTCCTTTCTTTCCCTTCCTTCCTTCCTTCCTTCCTTCCTTCCTTCCTTCCTTCCTTCCTTCCTTCCTGTCCCTCCTTCGTTCCCTCCCTCCCTTCCTTTCCTCCTTCTTTCCCTTTCTTTATTTCCTTCCCCTTCATTTCCTTCCCTCCCTCCTTTCTTCACCCCTCCTTCCTTCCCTTCCTTCCTCCTTCCTTCCTTCCCTCCTTCCTTCCTTCCTTCCTGTCCCTCCCTCCCTTCCTTTCCTCCTTCTTTCCCTTTCTTTATTTCCTTCCCCTTCATTTTCTTCCCTCCCTCCTTTCTTCATCTCCCCTCCTTCCTCCTTCTTTCCTTCTTTCCTTCCTTCCTTCCTGTCCTCCTTCTTTCCCTCCCTCCTTCCTTTCCTCCTCCTTTCCCTTTCTTCATTTTCTTCCCCTTCATTTCCTTCCTTCTCTCCTTTCTTTCCCCCTTCCTTCTCTCTTCCCTCTTCCTTCCTTCTTTTCTTTCCTTCCTTCTTTCCTCCTTCCTTCCTTCCTTTCTTCCTTCCTTCCCTTCTTCCTTCCTTCCTTCCTTCCTTCCTTCCCTCTTCCTTCTCTCCCTCCCTTCCTTCCTCCTTCCTTTCCCTTCTTCTTCCCCTTCTTCCTCCTTCCTCTCCTTCTCTCCCCCCTCCTTCCTTCCCTCCTTTCCTTCCTTCCTTCCTTCCTTCCTTCCTTCCTTCCTTCCTTCCTTCCTTCCTGTTCCTCCTTCTTTTTCTTCCTTCCCTTCTTTCCTTCCTTCCCTCCTTCCCTTTCTTTTCCTTCCTGTCCCTCCTTCCTTCCTTCTTCCTTTCCTTCTTTCTATGTAAGATATAAATACAATATTAAATGGGACAGTCAAGAAGTAATGAGAGAAGGAGGGAAAGAGGGAAGGAATGAAGGAGGGAAAGGGGGAAGGAAGGAAGGAGAGAAGGAGGGGAAAGAAGGAAAGAAAGAAAGGTAGAGAAGCAAGGAAGGAGAGAAGGAAATAAAAAAGTGAAAGGAAAAAGAGAGGGAAGGAAGGAGAGAAGGAAAGAAGGACAGGGAAGGAAGGAAGGAAATAAAAAGTGAAAGGGAAAGAAGGAAGGATGTAACCAAAGAGCAAAGAAATGGAGGAAAGAAACAGGTAGAGATGGAAGAAAGAAGAGAATAGGGAAAGAAAAAGGGGAAAGGAAGGAAAGAGGGAAGGAAGGAGAGAAAGAGGGAGGGAAGGTTGGCCACAGCAACGCGTGGCGGGTACAGCTAGTAATATATATTGCCTTGTTGTTTGCTGTACCCGCCACGCGTTGCTGTGGCCAACCTTCCCTCCCTCTTTCTCTCCTTCTTCCTTTCTCTCCTTCCTTCCCTCCCTCTTTCCTTCCTTCCCTCTTTTTCCTTCCCTTCTTCCTTCTTCTCTACTTGTTTCTTCCTTCGCTTCCTTTGCTCTTTGGTTCCATCCTTCCTTCTCTCTTTCCTTCCTTCCCTCCCCTCTCTTTCATTCCTTCTCTCCTTCCTTCCCTCTCACTTTCCTTCCTTCTTTCACTTTTTTTCCTTCTCTCTTTCTTTCCTCTCCTTCCCTCCTTGTGAATCCCAGTGACTACAACTCCCAAATGTCAAGGTCTATTTACCCCAAACTCCACCAGTGTTCATATTTGGGCGTATTGAGTGCTTGTGCCAAGTTTGGTCCAGATCCATCATTGTTTGAGTCCACAGTGCTCTCTGGATGTAGGTGAACTACAACTCCCAAACTCAAGGTCAATGCCCACCAAACCCTTCCAGTTTTTCTGTTGGTCATGGGAGTCCTGTGTGCCAAGTATGGTTCAATTCCATCGTTGATGGAGTTCAGAATGTCTTTGATTGTAGCTGAACTATAAACCCCAGCAACTACAACTCCCAAATGACAAAATCATAATTTTTTGAGTGATGGTCACTCTTTGTGTTGTGAGGTGTTTTGTTGCCAAATTTGGCGGCATTTCGTCCATTGGTTCTTTTGTTTTTAAGGTACTCATTATGCACAGAGCATTTTTATATATATAGATGTAATAATAATAGTAATATCACCAAGAACAAATCAGACCTGGACCTTTGTTAGAAACCAAACCCAGGGAGCTAGACTTGGAATGACAATCCACCGTTTCATTCTTGATGGGATCATCATTCACTTCTTTTTATCACTCCCATGGACTGTCTCATTTTTGCAGAGTTGTCCCAGCTCTGCCTGATATTGTTTCCCTTTGCCCATTGCAGCGAGGAGAGTTACACGGTCCTGAACTATGCCATGCTGGACCAAATCTCGGTGGAGAAAATGGAAAACCCAGATGCTCCTTCATCTCCGTCTGGGAAGCCCAGCTCGAGCGGCATCTCCCGCAACGTCCACTTGTTCCGGGTCTCCATGAACAGGGACAGCGAAGGCAAGCAAGAGACGATTGTGTTGGCGGCAGAAACCCTGTGAGTCTGTATTGCCAGCGATGTTCCAGCAGCCTACTGAGATATACATGCCTTGAAAGGGATCTATCTAAGTATACATTTTGGTTGGTTGGTTTGGTCCCATAAAAACTCCTCTGTGGCTTGATGGAACTGGGCCAAACGTGGCACACAGACCTTTCAGTATATAACTTAACATAATTGTAGCATTTGAACTAAAAGGAACCCACTGTTTTCAGTCCCAAAGCACAGGGAATGGATAGGAACAAAGCGGATTGGCTGAGGCTAGGTGAAGTTGCATCTGTCAGGTAGGAAGATAAGGTACCACCAAGTGTGAGGAGGCTAAATTAACTGATTTATGAGGCCATAAATAAGACTCCAGCAAAGCATTCCAGCGGGGAAGCATGCGGGGAATGCGGAAGTGCTTCATCAGCGTCGCAGATGGATGATGAAAGCGACAGCGCCCCTGGTGGCCAGAAAAAGTTAAATAGCCTCTGTGTATGTCTGTATATGTTTGCATGTCAAAAATTGGCATTGAATGTTTGCCATATATGTGTACACTGTAATCCGCCCTGAGTCCCCTGCGGTGTGAGAAGGGCGGAATATAAAAGTAAAATGTATTTATTAGGCCTGTTTGATCAAGAAAAAATTTGGTTCTAAAATCGATTTGTAATTGGGGTGTTTTTTTGTTTCGATATTTAAAATAATTACAAAACTTTCCAAAAAAAGTTTTGGTATTTAAGAAATTTTGTAAATATTAACGAATTTTTAGAATATTTTTTGTATTTCTTAAGAATAATATTAAAATAATATTAAAAAATATTTTAAAATGGAAAATTAACCAAAAAATGGCCCAAATGTGGACCAAACACAGGCAGGAGACAGCAAATGGGAGCACACACCAACAGAAGAGTCTTTTCTTTTTTAGAATATTTTTTAAGAATAATATTAAAATAATATTAAAAAATAATATTAAAATAATATTAAAAAATATTTTAAAATGGAAAATTAACCAAAAAATGACCAAACACAGGCAGGATACAGCAAATGAGAGCACACACCAACAGAAGAGTCTTTTCTTTTTTAGAATATTTTTTAAGAATAATATTAAAAAATAATATTAAAAATAATATTAAAAAATAATATTAAAAAATAATATTAAAAATAATATTAAAAATAATATTAAAAATATTTTAAAATGGAAAATTAACCAAAAAATGGCCCAAATGTGGACCAAACACAGGCAAGAGACATGAGAGAAATGAAGCAAGCAGCACTCACAGCAGCAAGGAATGAATCCAATCCCAGTTGCTAGCAGCCATTGCCAAGCCAACCCAATGCAAACTCCCTCGCCCTCTGCAGCAAGCTACGGGCCGCGCGGAGCCGCTTTGAAAGGGCTCGCCGGCCAATCAAAAACAGACAGCCACGGACCCATGGTGCACTGCTTGGGAGCGCCGGATTGGCTCCCATGCACCAGCACTCCAGCAGCCTCCACCCCATTAACGAAACGAGCGGAGGCTCGTTAAAACTATGGGGGCTGCTGGTTCGATATTTATAAACCCTTCCGGGTTTGGAAATATGTTTCGATATCGCTTCGGAAATGGTAAAATTAACGAATTATTAACAAATTAACGAATTAACGAACGAAACCGCACAGGCCTAGTACTCACATTTGCATGTTTTCAAACTGCTGCATTGGCAGGAGCTAGGGCTAGCAGCGGGATTCGAGCTGCCAGCCCTCAGGTCAGCAGCACAAGGGTTTAACCCATTGCGCCACCATGGCCCCCAAAGCTGATTGGCTGTGGCTAGGTGAAGTGGCCCTTTGTGGTGTCACTGAGGTAGAGAGGGACTTAGATGTGTATGAGTTGGAAGGATAGGAAGGAATAATAATAATAATAATAATAATAATAATAATAATAATACACTTTATTTATATTCCGCCCTTCTCCCCTAGAGGACACAGAGTGGATTACAATATTTACATACATAGGCAAACATTCAATGCCTTTACAGTCATATGCAAGGAAACACACAAACACAAACAAAGGCAAAGGCTTCTCCTTTCATTTCCGGCTTTGGAGGCGGTGCTCATCTCTGGGGAGGTGCTTTCTCCATTTTGAAGCCGAGGAGCCTGTGTTGTCACCTCCATCTCACCCGCCTCATAGGAAACCTGCTACAAAACAGGAGCTTTTTTGTTGAGTTCCAGGGCCAGAGAAGCAGATGGCGGAAACAGAAGAACGGCCTGCCTCAGGGGAGCGTGCTTGCTCCATCCATGTTCAACATCTACACAAATGACCAACCACTGCCAGAAGGGACAGAGAGCTTCATCTATGCTGATGATCGTGCCATCACCACTCAAGCAGGGATCTTTGAGATGGTTGAACAGAAGCTCTCCGAAGCTCTAGGTGCTCTAACTACCTATTACAGGGAAAACCAACTGATCCCTAATCCATCTAAAACACAGACATGTGCCTTTCACTTAAGAACAGACAAGCATCCCGAGCTCTGAGGATGACCTGGGAAGGAATCCCACTGGAGCATTGCAGCATACCCAAATACCTGGGAGTCACTCTGGACCGTGCTCTGACCTACAAGAAGCACTGCCTGAACATCAAACAAAAAGTGGGCGCTAGAAACAATATCATACGAAAGCTGACTGGCACAACCTGGGGATCACAACCAGAAACAGTGAAGACATCTGCCCTTGCGCTATGCTACTCTGCTGCTGAGTACGCATGCCCAGTGTGGAACACATCTCACCACACTAAAACAGTGGATGTGGCTCTTAATGAGACATGCCGCATTATCACGGGGTGTCTGCGCCCTACACCACTGGAGAAATTACACTGCTAGCCGGTATTGCACCACCTGATATCCGCCGGGAAGTAGCAGCCAATAGTGAAAGGACCAAGGCAGTGACATCTCCAGCTCATCCCTTGTTTGGGTATCAGCCAGCACGTCAACGACTTAAATCAAGAAATAGTTTTCTTAGATCTACAGAGACACTCGCTGGAACACCTCAGCAAGCGAGAGTTCAAAAGTGGCAGGCTCAAACCCAGCACCTCAATCCGTGGGTGATACCAGATGAGAGACTCCCCCCTGGGCACACAGAAGACTGGGCGACTTGGAAGGCGCTGAACAGACTGCGCTCTGGCACCACGAGATGCAGAGCCAACCTTCAGAAATGGGGCCACAAAGTGGAATCCACGACATGCGAGTGTGGAGAGAGCAAACCACTGACCACCTGCTGCAATGCAACCTGAGCCCTGCCACATGCACAATGGAGGACCTCCTTGCAGCAACACCAGAGGCACTCCAAGTGGCCAGATACTGGTCAAAGGACATTTAATCAGCTACCAAGTTTGCAAAATTTGTGTGTTTTTTTTTAAATCTGTTTGTTTGTTTTGTTCTGTTAGAAATGTAATACAGTGTTCTGGTTGCGGATGACACGATAAATAAATACCTCCTGGTCATGTGGCTGGCATGACTGCATGGAGTGTTTTTGCCTTTCCTAAAACAGTACCTATTTATCTTCTCACATTTGCATTGGCAGCAGCTAGGGCTAACAGCGGGAACTCAACCCATCCCTAATAATAATAATAATAATAATAATAATAATAATAATAATGTAGAGAAGTGTTTATTATAAAGGGTTTAATGTACTGTGTTTAAACTGTATTTATGTTTTACATGCGTGGCCATGGCCTAGCTGTGAGAGATAGGTTGCCATGGTGACAAGGCAGAAGAGAAGGTGGGCGGAGCTTAAGGAGATAAAGGTTTGAAAGTAACAGTTAAGAGTCAGTCAGGAGGATGAGACCCTGAGAAGAGGAGCGGAGTCAGTTAGGGCTCTGTGTGGTGAAGCAGTATAAATTCAGTTAGTTCTTAGCATTTGTGAATACTTCTTCAGCAAGGGAGCTGAAGGTGAAACCTTGTTAGATTGCTTGTGTTAAAAAGAATCTAAAAAAGGGGGTTTTAGGGATCCCAGTAGTGAAAGACTGGAGATCGGTGGTTTGATCCGGTGAAGGACAAACAGTTGTAAATATTCACAATAGGGGACACTGAAATAATAAAGTACCTCACTGTAGAAAGAGTTAAAGGATTGTAACATCGGAAGACTTAATGTAACTCAACCAAGCCATTTTGTATTCATCAAGCTTGTGCCAAGTTCAACAGTTTAATTTTGCAACAATTACGCTCTGTTAACAATAAACTTGTTCTCTCTGTGTTATAAATCTGCCTCCTCCATTGATTTTACATTTGGTGCAATCCACTCTACCAAAGTTGCCTCACAACGCAGATTGGGATAAACAGAGACTTCAATTCCAACATCTCTATATATATAATGGTGGCAGTGTAATCAAGCAGTTTTGGGACTTCCTTATAATTTATGCTGAAATTAGGTGGATTAACATACATATTTACTTAATTTTGGTAATCCCATTTAGGTGGGATTACGCTTCCTTACAAATAATAATAATATTTATTTATACCCCGTCACCATCTCCCCAGTGGGGACTCGGAGCGGCTTACATGAGGCCAAGCCCAAACAACAAATTACAATAAAAATAAAACCAAAACATAACCAAAAAAGCAAACAGTAAACGGCAACATCATAATAAAATAAAACATGTAAATACATAACAATATAAAGTTACAATAGACGCAATCACAATGACAATGGGCGGGCTGCATGTAATGATTAAAAGAGAGACTAATTAAAACTAATTTAAAACTCGGGCGAGATAAAAAGAGACAGATTATTTGCGAAGGAGAGCTCATTATAGCGGGGGTTGAGGAATCAAGCTTTCCCACAGAGGGGGGACGACATATACTCCAATGACAGAACATTGAGGCTAAGCAGTAGTGTGGGATTGTATACCTCGTCTCCAAAGGTGCAGCAGAAGAGCCAGGTTTTAAGATCCTTTTTAAAGGTTTCTAGGGTAGGGTAGGTCAGCAGCACAGGAGTTTAACCCATTGCGCCACCATGGCCCCCAAAGCTGATTGGCTGTGGCTAGGTGAAGTGGCCCTTTGTGATGTCACTGAAGAAGAAAGGGACTTAGATGTATATGAGTGAGAAGGAAAGCAACAAGGTGGGAAGGGGGAGAAAAAAAAAAGAAAAGTGGGGAGGTATGAGGGAAGGGGAGAAAGGAAAAGAAAAGTGAAGAAAAGATGAGGGAAGGGGGGAAAGGAAGAAAAGAAGAGAGTAAGGGAAGGAATAAAGAAGACAGGGGAATGAATTGTATAATTTCAGTCTGTGATCTCCAGCCTTATCCACCCCAAATGCATTCTGGGGCTACGGTGGCACAATGGGTTAAACCCTTGTGCTGCTGATCTGAAGGTTGGCAGTTCGAATGTGCAGGATGGGGTGAGCTCCCACTATTAGCCCTAGCTCCTGCCTACCTAGCAATTTGAAAGCATGCTAATGTGAGTAGATAAATAGGTACCGCCTCAGCAGGAAAAGCAAAAAAACACTCCATGCAGTCATGCCAGCCACATGACTAAGAGGAGTCTACGAACAATGCAAGCTCCTTGGCTTGGAAATGGAGTTGAGCATTTCCCCTAGAGCCGTAAATGAAAGGAGAAGCCTTTGCCTTTGTCTGTGATGTTTGTGTTTCATTGTATCCCACTGTAACAAGGCCTAGAATGTTTGCCTGCGTCTGTTTATATGCTGTAATCCGCTTGGGGAGAAGGGCGGAACATAAATAAAGTATTATTATTATTATTAGTATTCGTATTATTATTCTCTGTTTGGTTATCTGGGAAATGTGGTGCTGGACTTTGCATTGTTTTGTAATGCGTTGTGCTCGTTTTCTTTGCTTTTGGCAGAAGTGATCGCGCCCGATGGATCATGGCCCTGACACACAGGGAGGACAAGAAGACGAGCGCTGCAAACAAAGGAGGTACGGCTTCGGGGGTTTTGAAATCTTACTGTCTTCGTGCTGTTTTGGTTGTGAATACAACATGGCAGGTATAACCCTAGCTTACAAGGGTTTTATGCAGTCGCTGCCTGGGAATCTATAGTTCTTAGTGAAAAAACAAGGACGTGGCAACTTTTCCCCAAGGAATTGCTTCTTGCCTTCCTTTAGAGAACTAGAACTCCCGAGGATCAACAAGACACTATAGATAACTCGAAATACAAAAAGTTATCTTTCTGAGGTGGAAAGAAGCAGGGGAGCTGAGGGATGATTTATTGTTGCCACCAGTTTGAAAGGAACCAGTATTCAGGAGATTTTACCCCAGTTCCCAATTTTAAAAAGACTTAGCCGATTTGCAATGGAGGTTGCCGATTAGGAACCAAATTTACCATCAAGTTAGAAGGGAGGCTGTTCAATTGCACCTCCTCCTTTATTAAGAAAGTAATAACTTAGTAGTAATTACACTGTATATACTGTAGCGTGACTGGAGAGAAGAATGTAGATTTATTTGGTTACTTTTCCCTACGTTTCTGCCACCACGTGAGGGAAGCATTTGCACAGCTTAGGCTCGTGCGCCAGCTGCGCCCGTACCTTGGGAAGTCTGACTTGGCCACGGTGGTACACGCTCTGGTCACATCCCGCCTTGACTACTGCAACGCTCTCTACGTGGGGCTGCCCTTGAAGACGGCCCGGAAGCTTCAGCTAGTCCAGCGCGCGGCAGCCATGTTACTAACGGGAGCGGGACGCAGGGAGCACACAACGCCCTTGTTGTCCCAGCTCCACTGGCTGCCGATCTGCTACCGGGCCCAATTTAAGGTGCTGGTGTTATCCTATAAAGCCCTAAACGGTTCCGGCCCAAAATACCTTTCGGACCGCATCTCGGCCTATGAGCCCACGAGGGCCTTGAGATCGTCTGGGGAGGCCCTTCTCTCGATCCCGCCTGCCTCACAGGCACGTCTGGCGGGGACGAGAGAGAGGGCCTTCTCGGTGGTGGCCCCCCGGCTGTGGAACACCCTCCCTGTTGACATCAGACAGGCGCCCTCCCTTATGGCTTTCCGTAAAAGCCTAAAGACCTGGCTATTTGAGAAGGCATTTAACTGAGTGCTACATTGACTGGTAAGGACAACTGGAACGGTATACGGATTACGAGATTGGTTATGATTCTATGTTGTGACGATGCGGATTAGCTAGTGTAATTTAGATTAGTGTGTATTATTGATATGTTGATTTCTTGTTGTGCCTTATTGTAAACTGTTTTTATATGTTGTACACCGCCGCGAGTCGCCCTAGGGCTGAGAGCGGCGGTCAACAAATGCAGCAAATAAAATAATAATAATAAATAAAAGTTGTAATATTGTGAGAAATGGCACTTGGTACACAGAATAGATGGAGCTGAGGCAATCTTCAAATAAAAGTTAACAATTTTATTAAGTACACAGCGTGTGGTTGCAAGATGTAACTTTTCCTTGTTGCACTTGGAATAATACTTGTAACTTTAACAGTTCATTCTTTCAAGTAACACAGTATCTTTCTGACGTAGAGCACTTGTTTCAGACAAAGTTTCCATACAGGGATGTTTCCCTTAGTTGATCCTCCCTAGATCAAATACTAAGTAAACTATTCTTTAGCCTCTCCTTAGACTAAAAGAATTCCAGCTATGTTTCACCATTCGGCTGCACTAGCCTGAGAAACTTCCAATAGCCAAACCCAGCTTTTCAAAGCCTCAAAGTTTTGCTTCACAAGTCACTCCGCCACCTTTCCTTTCCTTCTCTCCCAACTCCTAACTCCTCACTCCTCTGAACCTAACTCCTGACTGCTCACTCCTCTAAACCTAAACCCTAACTGATTTTTAACTGTCGTTTTTTCAAACTCTCCCCTCTAAGCTCCTCCCACTTCCCTCTCTCCTGCATCGGTCTCCATGGAGGACTCCTCTGACTTAGGCCTCTCCAGCATTACTGCAGCCAATATAAACACAAATACAGTTAATTGTTTACAAAGAGTTATCTTTCTGAGGCATTAAACTTGATGTTCCAAAAGGGGTAAAGAAAATATACATTACAGTCTCTGGTTGTCTTGGGTCCAAGGAGTTTTCCAGCTGAGTAGCTTCCAAGTTCCCTCTTTCTCAATGGCTATGAGGTCGAAACACTCACAACCCCAGTCCAATTGCCTATATTGAAGGCACAAAGTCTTCCTCTTGATGCCAAAGGACTGGTTTGAAGGCGCTTAAGATTCCTCAACGTCGTCCAGATGAGCTGGGCATGAAGTATGAATCTTAAGGGTATAAACCTAAGAATTGGTGGTAAGAAATGACTTGAGCTTTGAGCCAAGCCTTTCGCACGTCCATCTGTTGAGCTTTGGTGGTAAGAATAAAGGCGAAAGAGTTGCTTTTCTTTCTCCCTAGGAAGGGGTGGAGCCAAACAATTGGGTTGGGGAAGCAAGCCAATTGATGTAAAACAACATTGATTGACAGCTATAGACAACCAATCAATTCAACTATACATTTACAAGGTAGACAGGCAAGTCTGGACATGTTACAACAGTTCAAACCTTTGCAACTTAAAGTTTTACATATAGGTGGCGCCAGCTGCGCCGTCGCAATCCTTCTGCACTCTACTTGACCATGAACTCATTGCAGTACTTTAGTCAAGCTTTAATGATCTATATAAATAAAAATGTAATGTTCGTTTGTGCTATTCACAGAACTCAGAAACCACTGGGGCAGCTGACACCAAATTTGGACACTATGTCCCTAACAACCCAATGTATGTTCTCCACTAAAAAAAACAACGAAAACAAAAAGCAGAAAGGACTTCTAAACTGCATGTCCACAAAGGGGAAACTGCATGTCTACAGAGACCCATGGCCGGCCCCCCCCTCCTCGCGGGGAAACAGCCGGCCGTTAAAGCCAGGTGCACGTGCACGGCCACACACGCACACACACAAGCGAGTGGAGTGGAGGAGGTGGAGGCAGTCTCCTCCTCCTTTCCCTGTTGGAAGAGGAAAGGGCGGATGAGTGCCAGCAACAGCAACGGAGCAAGGAAGAAAGGGAGGAGGAGGAGGAGGAGGGCGAGGAAGGTCCACGGTGCTTGAATGAAGGACCTTCCTTCTCTCCCTCCCTTCCCTCTTTCCTCCCTTTCCTTCTTCTTCCTTTTCTCTTTCTTCTTCCTCCTTCCTTCTTTCCTTCCCCTTTCCTTCCTTCTTTCCTTTTCTTCTTTCCCTTTTTCTCCTTCTTTCCTTCTTTCCCTCCTTCCCTTCTTCCTTCCCTCCTTCCTTCTTCCTTCCTTCTTTCCTCTTCCTTCCCTCCCTTTTCTTCCTCCCTCCTTTCTTTCCCTCCTTCCTCCTTCCTTCCTTCTCCTCCCTCCCTGTCCCTCCTTCTTTCTTTTCCTTCCTTCCCTTCTTTCCCTCCCTCCCTTCCTTTTTCCTTCCTTCCTGTCCCTCCTTCCTTCTTCCTTTCCTTCTTTCTATGTAAGATATAAATACAATATTAAATGGAAGGGACAGTCAAGAAGTAACGAGAGAAGGAGGGAAAGAGGGAAGGAAGGAAGGAGAGAAGGAGGGAGGGAAAGAAGGAAAGAAAGAAAGATAGAGAAGCAAGGAAGGAGAGAAGGAAATAAAAAAGTGAAAGGAAAAAGAGGGAAGGAAGGAGAGAAGGAACGAAAGGAAGGAAGGAAGGAAGGAAGGAAGGAAGGAAGGAAGGAAGGAAGGAAGGATGTAACCAAAGAGCAAAGAAAGGGAGGAAAGAAACAGGTAGAGATGGAAGAAAGATGAGAGATAGGGAAAGAAAAAGAGGAAAGGAAGGAAAAAGGGAAGGGAGGAGAGAAAGAGGGAGGGAAGGTTGGCCATACGCATGGTGGGTACAGCTAATAATAATAATAATAATAATAATAATAATAATAATAATAATAATACAATCTTTATATTCGCTTCTCCCCAGGGGACTCAGAGCGGATTACAGCATTTACATACATAGGTAAACATTCAATGCCTTTACGAACATATACAAGGAGACACACAAACACAAACAAAGGCAAAGGCTTCTCCTTTCATTTCTGGCTTCTGGAGGCGGTGCTTCATCTCTGGCTTTGGGAAGTTTTATCCACAGATTCTCTGTCTATGGATTCAACGACCCTTTGAAGGCAACCATATTGCTAAGGTGGCTCTCGATTGAAAATGAGTTTGACACCCCTGATTTCAATAAACCAATTAGAAACATGTGTTCTTCTTTCTTCCAAGATCTCAAGCAAGTGGAGATTACTCGGCCGTTCATGGCTAAGCAGACGGATGAGATTTCCCTGCAGCAGGCGGATGTTGTCTTGGTCCTGGCTGGAGAAGAGGGTGAGTAGTAGCCTTGCGAGAACATCCTGATGGAAGGACTTTTCAGTGGATGGGGTACAAAAGCAGGAGATTCAAAACATCTCCTTCACTGGAGGTTGTTGAAGAGAGGCTGGAAAGAGGGCTTTGATTGTGGCAAAATGGGGTTGGACTGGATGGCACAACTCTAGGATTCTAGGGTTCATAAATAGAGAAGACTGGCTAGATTAGGATCTCTTCGGAATCAGGTTGTGAGAAGCTATGGGGAGATCTTGAGTTAGTTGCATTCATTCAGCCCAACCTGTCCTCCTAGATCAGTGTTTTTAATATCTACATGAAACCACTGGGTGAGGTCATCCGGAGTTTTGGAGTTGGGTGCCATCTGTATTTAGATGACTACTGATTTCCACCAAACTCCAAGGAAGCCTCCCAGACCTTGAACTAGTGTCTGACTGCTATGATGGACTGGATGAGGGCTAACAGGTTGAAGCTTAATCCAGACAAGACAGAGGTCCTCCTGGTCAGTTGTAGGGCTGACCAGGGTATTGGGTGGAAACCTGTGCTCGACGGGGTTGCACTCCTCCTGAAGGCGCAGGTCCGTAGCTTGGGGATTCTCCTGGACTCAAGGCTGTCACTTGATGCTCAGGTGTCGGCGGTGGCCGGGAGGGCCTTTGCACAACTCAAATTAATGCGCTGGCTGCAACCAAACCTCATGAAGTCTGGTTTGGCCACCTTGGTTACCTCCAGATTGGACTATTGCAATGCGCTCTATGTGGGGCTGCCCTTGAAGATGGCCCAGAAGCTCCAACTGGTACAATGGGCAGCAGCCAGGCTCCTTACTGGAGCAAACTATAGGGAGCACACAACACCCCTATTAAAACAGCTTCATTATTATTTATTTATTATTTCTTTACTACGCTTATATACCGCAATTCTCAGCCCAAGGGCGACTCATTGCGGTGTACAACATAGAAAAACAGG